TTTATTGTGATATATTTTGGTTACTGGTGCATGGCTCATTGTTTTTTCTTACGTCTTTGATGGTTTTCTATTTTATGTATCAGGACAAGAAGAGCTATGGATGGGGGTATATCATTCCAAGAAGCACTTGATGCCAGACTGAACATAATCAAGCCTTCTTCACAACAGGTTCTACTAGTTTGTAGTCATATTATACCATGAATTGACTGTTAACTTGAAATGACAAGTATGTACACTTATATTGCTATCATGCCTCCGTGGCTGTATTCCCTAAAAAGTGAATAAAGAAGCCAAGGATTGTAGAAAAATTAGATAATATCTAATTACAAGTCATGTTTATCAGCAGTGCAATGACTTAACATTAAGTTTTTGTTTTCACTTCCAGGTTGAAGATTTCATTTCGAGCAATTCTCTCCACTTAACAGAACATATAAGGTCTGTAAAACTACTTTWAAAAACTGGTCTCTCAGTACTACCAACCTAATAATGATAATAATAATCATATTTTTCTATAGTGCTATTTCCCAGGGTTCCAATAGCACTGGGAGCAATATCTATTGTACAAAAAAGTGTATAGAAAAATATGTAGTATTTCAGTACATTACTTAAACCTAAAGTTCTCAAATTCATTAAACGTATTTGGCCCAGTTTCCCTAATGCCATCCATAGAAATTGACACCCACATTTATTGGCCATAATACCCCTATATTATCCATACAGTATGTATTGTCCCCAGCTACCCTGTGACACCCATATCTAGTGGCTACCCCATAACAATCACATATCTGTATTGATTTAAAATTTGTGATGTTTATTTTGTAGGGAGCTAATTTCAACATTAACGAGTAAAGGCTCAGCAGTTTACTTAGTGTCTGGAGGTTTCAAGGAGTTTATTGAACCTCTAGCTAAACTTGTTGGGATTCCAAAAGAAAACATATTTGCAAACCGATTGATTTTTGATGACCAAGGTAAACATAATATTTTACAATAACTTCATGCATGCTGGTTATTTTTAATCATCAATAAGAGGACAGACAGATAAAGCTKAYGTYAATGAGCGTGCRCWYTTTCYGTTGGTTGTTTTGATCACTAAAAATGAGAAGTTTTTATTGTTTTTGTCTGCACTACTTTGATGACGGGATGTTGCAATTTATCGTCAATAAGAGGACAGACAGATAAAAAATTCATTTCTATTTCATATTAGCATATGAAAGAATATGTTAACCATTTTATTGRTGTGCTACCTCACTAGTGATGGAAACATAGACAGAACAATATGGAAAGCACACTAATGAAARCATAGGTGGCATATAGCAGTAGTGTTTTAACCTTTCAATCAACAATGCGACCCGGGACCAATTCCCAGACTCCCTTGGTGTCAAAAGGAGAGTAGAGTCATTGTCTGTTTTTCCTGGACTTTGAGGGTTTTTCTATGGGTTCTCCAGTTTTCCATCTTCTGCAAGATCCAATTTGATAATGGAATGAGGGCCCCAGGTTTGTTAGTAACAGGGTATTACTGTGGCTGTGCTTACAGGTGCATATTTTTAATCATGTCTAGATAATTTGTCAATAAGGACAAGACTTTTAATTAATTTAATTTATTYCTAGGAAATTATTCTGGATTTGATACCAATCAACCCACCTCAGACTCTGGAGGGAAAGCTACAGTTGTTGGAATGCTTAAAAAAAGATACAATTACAAAAGGTAAAGACATTTACTGCTAGTACACTGTTAAAATTTAACAATAATATCTGGGCTTGTGGTTTGCTTACTGGGCTGCTGTAAATGTATTAATCAAMCCAGAGGYTGTTTCYGGGCTCAATCWGTGAGTTAGCYWTGCCYTKASTTAGATCAKCTGACGTAGATAGGCTCAGAGATTGTTTCAGGGTTCGATCTGTGAGTTAGCTGTGATCTGACTAATTGATCAGCCTAGAGGTTGTTTCAGGGTTCTATCTGTGAGTTAGCCATCCCCTGACTTAGATCACCCAGAGGTTGTTTCAGGGCTCAATCTGTGAGTTCGCCATCCCCTGACTTTGATCAGCCTAGAGGTTGTTTAAGGGTTCAATTGGTGAATTAGCCATGCCCTGACTTAGATCAGCCTAGAGGTTGTTTCAGGGTTCAATTGGTGAGTAAGCCATCCCCTGTCTTTGATCAGCCTAGAGGTTGTTTCAGGGTTCAATTGGTGAGTTAGCCATGCCCTGACTTAGATCAGCCTAGAGGTTGTTTCAGGGTTCAATTGGTGAGTTAGCCATGGCCTGACTTTGATCAGTCCAGAGGTTGTTTCAGGGTTCAATCTGTGAGTTAGCCATGGCCTGACTTTGATCAGTGCAGAGGTTGTTTCAGGTCATGAATAAAAGTAAGGAAAGTGCAGTAACATCAAAATGACCCAAGGTCATTTGAAACTGACTAATGTTTTTTTTTATTATTGTTCCCAGTCTTGTGATGGTTGGTGACGGTGCAACAGACATTGAAGCTTGTCCACCTGCGGTATGTTACATGAAATTTTGATGTTTTGGTAAATTCATTTCTATTTCTCCACTTAACTTATTAATTGTTGATTTGTCTTTGCATGCTTCAGGATGCTTTTATAGGTTTTGGTGGAAATGTTGTTCGTGAGAATGTCAAGAAAAATGCCAGTTGGTATGTTTCAGATTTTGAAACACTTCTTAAYGAACTGAAAAAAGGTTAATTCCAGAAAGAAATGAAAAAAATTATAAAGAATATAACATTGAGGGTGGAACGTAGATTCGCTGATTGTCATCATTACAACAACAACTACTAATAGATATTTTAATATATTAAATCTGGAACACAGATTTTTTCCAAGTTCCATTCCTTTTTACTTCTCGTCATTTCATTCTTTCATTTTTGATATGATTATAAATATATAGGGATCTATATTTCTGATTTTAGATGTTCTCATTATTTATATATGTGAAGAGAACAGTTTTGTGTATGAGAATATATATGAAACRTATATTTGTACTGCGGTTGTAATATAATAAATTGAGCTGATCCTCACAGTATGTGAAACAACTTATGCAGCTGCAAATAGAATATTTTTTATCAAGGAGTGTTTGCTGTTAATATTTATATTTAAACCTTTATTTTTAATTTTATTTTGCTGTAACTTCTATTAATTCATTGCATAATTATTTTGCGGTAGTTATAATAGATAATATAAATACATACATGTACTTCATCTTCAAGTGTACTTGTCTCTCAACTCTGGGGTCTCTTTCTCGRTTCCTAGACTCAACATCACATGTGAGTTGAGTTTATTAGGTTTCTCCCTTGATTCAAGGGACCGCAAAATCTAACATGCTAAATCGCAGTTGATTCTGTAAGTTATCTGTGACCTGACTTAGATCAGCCCGGAGGTTGTTTCAGGGTTCAATCTTTTAGTTAGCTTTGCCCTGACTTAGATCAGCCCAAAGGTTGTTTCAGGGTTCAATCTGTGAGTTAGCCATGCCCTGACTTAGACCAACCCAGAGGTTGTTTCAGGGTTCAATCTGTGAGTTAGCTGTGCCCTGACTTAGATCAGCCCAAAGGTTGTTTCAGGGTATTTCATCTATTAATCTTTTTCTTTTACGACGCCAAAAATGAGAGGAGTGTTTCGGCTGACGACAAACACCAGTTTTGTTTACCAACGCAATTAAGAAAAAAAGAAGAAGAAAAAATCCAAAACGTACAAGAAATCTGCCTTATGAAGACATTATCACAGATTTTCCTTGTGCAGAATGTGGTGTACTAATGCCTGGCGGCAAACCAAAAACAGTTTGATGAGAAACGAAAAAAAAAAAACGCACCTCAAAACGTGAACCACCAGGTGTTTGACAGTGAATATATCACATTCTCTACCCTGCTTCCGTCATGTTTCTACGACCTCAACTTCTAGTTATCAAGGTTTGTTCCTGCTAATCTATCAATTCTAAATTGAACCGGCTGTAATTTTGATTGTGTCACGTCTACCTTTGATGCAGAAAAATTAGAGATTAAAAGCTTTGATGAAAACAAGACATTATCCAAAGCACGTCGATGCCATTGAACGGCATTTTCTACTTCTTTTTCATATTTATATTTGTTACTTTAGTGTAAACAGATAATATTTGATGAAATAAAACTAGCTTAATTGTAGGAGGGGTTAGCACACTACTGAATGAGTGGGCGAATAAATGAATGAAACAAAGGAAACAAAAAAACATCGGTGTTGTTTTGAGAAATTTACCTCCTGTTTACGTAAATTGAGTTGTACTTTTTCGCAAAAATGTTCACTGCTTTTATTAAAAAAAAAGGACAAACAAAGACCTATTTAAGTGTTTTACAAACGTCATAAAATAACAAAATTAAAAAATTCGCTTGTTTATATATTTTGCAACCATGAATTGTTATAATGTTGAAACCCTTGTGTAAACTATTAATTTTCTTGCGATTCTTTGTGTTTGTTTTCAAACATAACGTCTTGTTTTATTTTATTGGCAAGTCTTTGAAGTCATGTAAAACTGAAATATGAAGGACATCAAACAGCAAAGGGTTCGACTATTCAGCATCGTCTTTTTCCTTCTTTCTTTTTACTTTTGAGTTAAATCGTTTCTCCTCTAATCCGGCWAGAGTCACTATTACAACACMACAGGAAGCCCAGCATTTGCAATATATACTCCCTTGACTCTCACAATTTGAATCGGTCTYAGATCTAGGTTAATTAAGATGATTACATATTGTTCATATGTATAGTAAATTCCTATTTTTCCCCTCCTATCACAATCATTTCTTATAACAGTAACCATATGATGCTTATTGAGCGCGTATTGAATTTTTCCTTATGTAACGTTAACGAACCCATAATAGCGAGTGCTCATAATTGCTAATTGTTTACTGCAAGTGTTTCCTTAGCGACAAGGAAAAACATGAAAAGAAAAACTTTATCTTGACTTTTATATTCCTATAAAATGAATCTTGTAATTGCTGATGTTGTGTATTACAATGAAATACAATATCTCCTTTTTCGTTTTCATGATGTTTATTTTTAACACAAGAGTGAGATTAACCTGTCTTAGCAAAACTGTTTGTCCAATTCCCAAAAAAAACACAGATGGTCCATTATCCAATCGGAAAGCTGTATTGAGTCAAATGGTCATTGGCTTATCTGTTGTCAAAGATTCGATGTACAAACGCAAAGAAAATCCTTTTAGTTTGGGATTTCCGTTTTTGTCTGACGACCGATYCTATTTCACATCGTAACTTGTTTAATCCTCTTATTTTCATCACTTGGTCGTATCCTCGCATGACAAGTTGTATTAATCTAAGGTAAGGTATTCTTTCTTTAAGTATTGCGTAATATTTCGGKATAAAAAACGCCATCTTAATCATCGAACACAAGAACTAGCTACCGAATAAACTGAGCAGTCGACTTATTTGTGTAAGGCTAGGTTATGCAAATGCGCGCAGCACTTACATTAGARCGGAAGTTTGATAGCTGGAAGCTATAGTTCTAATATTCCCTAAACGCGCGAGCTTGAACTAAATATCCTAGAAGAGAACAAGGAGTTCTTCTGGGGTAAGCAGATKCAAGGTTATGAGGTGTGTACTAAATAAATTAAAAAAATAAAGGAAAAAGGCGACAGTGTCATTTGAAGAGGAAGATATTTACAGTGCTGTGTGGGGGAGGGTGTTAGGATTGGTATAATTGTATACTAATCTAAATAGCACCTTGAACAGTTAAAAATAAGTTCAGTTCAGTACAAAAGGGAATCGAATTGATCGAATTGTCTTGGGTATCAATAGCATCGCTTAAATCAAATACCCTCTCACTGATGACTTTTCCATTGAAGGAAAACCAGTTGAACCGTATGTTGATCTGAAGAGCGAGATATAGCAAACTGACTCTAGRAGGTCGCGTTGTTTGTCTATCAGTATACTGAAGACCGTGTTCATTTGCAATAGATGTGGTGGTGAAATGAACGGCAGAAAAAGAAAGGTAACACAATACGTATGTTGCTTTATTATCTAAAATACGCCTCTACTATGGTATTACGATCATATTTTTGAAAAACTTGAAATACTATAGTATAAAAACATGGTGAACCTCACGAAGAGAATAGTTTAACTTTGATGAACMCGTTGCAACATGAACGCAACTGATCCAAACGCAATTGAGTCGAGTTTTAATCCTTTTAAGAATCGACATGTGAATATTGACTATTATATTTTTATTTTGTGATATTTTTAACACCTGATACGAAGTCCATCTGCTGTTATGGTTGTTATATTAGGGGACGAATTGTGCTCAATATAACATAGTTAATGAAAAATTTCCATTTTTTGTCAATTGAGTCCAAGCGATTCATTATAGATTATATGTCATCATAAGTTCGCTGCCTCTCGGCCGCCATGCCATATATCATCACGCGGTCCCAAAAAGCGAAATAAATAGAATAAAGAAACGCGCATTTTTTGTTATAAAAACATATTTCATAATCACAGTTTATTAAGTTAATTTTTACCAGAGTTTAGTTAAAAATCAAGCTTTCTGCGTTTATGTCGATGTGTTTTTTAACAAGAAAGTGATMTGGCCAATGGTCATCCTGACTGCTCAAACTGTGTTGCCTTTGTTATCCATTAATTTGGCGCCAACAGTGTTACACAGCTTGGTTTTTTWAATTTTAGTCATTATTTTCACGGATAGATTTTTAATAAATTCAACTTGAAACTGTGWTAGCAACATTAACAAACCAAACAAACGACCAAAAAACTAATCCCCAGAACAAACTCAGTTTGTTTTTGTAATGTTGACATGGATAAAACTCGTCTACACCTGCCATGGCGCGCGCATGGTTTATCCGGCCCCTGAAACAGCAAACCTTAAAACTCCRGCTATATCAGCCATTCATCATTTTGGCTTTGAATCTTTTACTAAACCAGTCTCCAAGATACTCAGATGTGTATGATGACACGCATGGACAAGAGGTTGATACTAGAGTTTTGTATTTAAGCTAGCATTGCTAAAATTATGAATTAGTGGCATTGACGCGAYCAATTCATGGTTATAAAGTCGAAGGCATTTTGCCAGTGTGTTTAAATCGACTGAGTACAATATTCTGATAGAAAAACTCTGTATTTATAAAACTCTGGGTTTTTCAAAGCAAAMGTCGGTGAGGAAGGACACAACACTACGAGATTGTCAGTTTTGGGGTTAATAATTCCTGAACTTTCCACTATTTTGAACCCTCTAAAATGAAGCATTGATTCCAAAGGCGCAAAGTGATCAAAATGAATCAAGGAATGAYATCCTTGGTAGCGTTCACGATGCGTGGACCTCACTGTATCTGCGGTAACRGACAGTTTTAATCGCTTGATCTTTTTAATCAAGTTGCACGTGATCGATTTTACCATGGAAATAATTCCTTTTTTTCTCTACTTCAAATACTTCAAACTACTTTCACGGATTCTATAATAATACTCCAGCGCCCTCAACATTAGCTGGGCTGAGCTAAGTGTTTAACTTGGATAGCAATTCATTTAGGATTTTRAAATCACGTATTGAGGCAATGTCTTTAAGGGACGCCAATGGCAATTTCATTAGACTTGGCGAGCTATAAATGCTCATCTAATTATGAGTCGCTCAAAGAGAAGTAAAATGATTTTTCCAACATGAAAAAATAAATCATATAGTAATCATTTTTGCAAGGATTTTTGCCATTTTCAAWKATCTAAATAGATTTCTTGCAGTACYTTGGAATRCAGYTCATTCTGGGCGACAAAACAATACGTTCCAATTCTCAGGAGATYGSAATTGTTTTGTTTTGTCCCCCAGATCGAGCTGCTTTGACGTCACACGAGGCTGTAGCCCCCTCCCCCTCCCCCTTCAGCCACATATAYTTTKACTTGTTCAAAGTAATGTATTTRCTGTAAAATAATTTGGTCAAGCYCCMTTATATTTTTTGTTTGATCCGCCCCTAACAMTGTAGACCTATCGCCAAATGATTTGAACCAAAAAATCTAATGACGTCATCATATAATAATATCTAACTAAGTGTGGTTGATACAAGCATCTCTGAGCACCATTGATGATCCACATCAAATAACAGTTTTCAGGGAGCTGGAATAAACCTAATCCTTCCCCCAATGGTAACCATGGAAGGTCCTCTTTCGCTTGCTATTCGCTGTCGTTATTTTCTTTTCCTGTCTTGTTTACTGCAGTCTTTTCTACTTCGTTTTGGTCTCAAAACTGCTTACTTCAAATTTAGTCGAAGAATTTATCATTTAAGGAGTTTTTTTTGAATTGAATAAACATACATATTCAAATCATGCATAATCGTTATAACACGGTCTTATTATGACTACCATGTTCGTTTTATCGGCTTTCGCCTCGAGCAACAGCTGTACATCTATACTGATAYCGTCCTACAAACACTACCGAGGTTTCCTAGGAGATCTATCACCTTTTATTCATTTATCAACCTGGTTCATTTTTTATTTTTCTATGACAGCTATAGGAGCTTTGTTTTGAGATAAAAGTGGCCTTCAAAGCCGTGAGTTATAAAGTGTTTATAGCTCAGTTATATCTTTCGGTTGTAACAGACAGGAGAACGATGACGAATACAATTTGCTGAAAACACTTTCATYCCTACATGATTATTAAACTTTGACATTATCTTTGCATTAAACAATAAAAAGAAAGGAGAAAAAAAGCAAAAAAACTCACGTAATAAAAAACACTACTATGTTAAATGAAGTTCTACACTGAAATAATTTTGGTGTTAGCACAAAAAAACCTTGAACGACGTACAAAAGCYAAGGCAATAAAGCCAATTTTGGGAATTACGAACATCAACAGACTAAAGTTAATGTACTTGATATTTTTTCCCATTCATTCTCCTTGTATTTAGTTGTTTTTTGTCCTTTTAGTGCAYTTAATAATAGGAGTTTGAAGACGTTTTTTTTCTGTCATTGGTTACCTAGCAACGAGATTCCTTCCTGTTGTAGTGAYTGGGCAACTTAAGCAAAGCTCACGCCTTGCTTTGAAAGTTACTTCCGATGTTTGAAGTTGCTTTTGTAATCAAGKTTTTTACACAGATTCACCCGATAAGATTATGGCTGTTCTTTGAGCTTATGTCAACGAGTATTCTAAACCTCACGAAAAAAAACGTTGAGCATCGACAGGCAAGTTTACAATGATCATAGCCTTCTTAGATTCAAGGAAAAAGCGACAGAATGATAAGCAAAAATCCCCTGATTTGGACTTAAAAGCATCGCTCATTTTGATAGTATCGATGTAGGTTTGTCTTCGTTAAWTGCATGTTTGGCTTCATCAAGATTAGTTTTATTTTGCCGGAAAATGAATTTTTTTTTTTTTTTTCTAACTGCAAGAAGCTTCAAAACTAACAAGGGGCCATAAAATCCTAATATGATTCTGGCCCTGGATCCAGAAAGGAACTTACCTTTTTCTTTTACTGATGCTGGTTGTAATTGCCGAATTTCACTTTTTTCATCAACTGTGTTAGTTCAGTTTTTTCCGGGATTAGTGACATCGCAAAATACAGCGCAGTTGCACTTGAACTTTTGCGGAAGTCCAATCTTCAAACTGTCGACACAACCAAAAACCTCCATGCTATTCAATTCAACAGAAAATCAGCCATTCTTATTTTCTTAACCATTTTATTTTTCGTATTACTATGCATGGCTGGGAATGTGGGCTGAGTTCTCTCTGATTAACAACTTGAACGGGTTTAAGCTTAAAAGTTTGGGGTTTGGTAAATAAAGTAAAATTAGAACATTTTAGAATCGGGGCGAGAAATGACAATATTGTTACTAGCTAATCTGATGAGCGGAACGAACTTTAGTATGATTAAGATATACCCAATTATTTTGCTGTTATTAATAAAATCTCGACAGCTAGATTTCATTTCAGCTCGGCTTCAAATGAAAGTGTAAGGCCTTCTTAGTCATATCGTTCAAACACGTCAAAATGCATTAATTTGACCGATTAACTTGAGATAACTATGCATTATCGGGGCTTTAAATTGAACGAAAGTATCTCAATCTTATCAAAGATACCAGATAGGRTAAACTGTCTTTTTAAGGGTAGGCGAGATTTAACAAATTTCCTCCACTTTTTTCTGTGGTACGTCCTCTTATTTACGACGATTTTCGTCATCTGCCTTTTTGTGGACCGCACACGAGGCGTAGGAGTCCACGACATATTTTGACGGCCAAATGCGTATTGTTATGATGATGATGATGATGATGATGATGCTGATAATATATATATATATATATATCAATTAAGTCCTGACCTGGGTAGGAGTGCGTAGGTTTCTATCAGTGCTCGACAGCGCACAGGGCAACATCAAACTCGAGTCTTTAAAGAGCCTCTTTAAATCACCTATTGATGAACGTGCTTTATAAGTGTTAATAAGACAATGCTCGATCTGATCGCCGCAGCATCAAATACTAATTAAGTTTTAAGTGCTATCGAAGAAGGCAACAAATGAAGTGGAGGATCCTGAGAATCTTCTAGATTGAGTTTGCTAGCCTTCAAGCCATTTATAATGATCATTTAGCCCCATAAGGGCTCAAGAATAAACGATTAACAATGACGTCTTTAGAACCCCACTGAGAACACCCATAGGCCATGCATTTGGACCGTTAAGTACTGGTACATGATCCATAGCTATGTACTAGCACTCCTAGGAAATGGTTCCCTTGATAAAACTAATATCTCTTATACCCCATTCACACCTAAACGTGTTTAGTTAAACTATGTTTTCATTAGGAAAAATATTGAGAAACTAGAAACCTACAATATAATAAATCTTTCTAAAATATTATCAGAGCAAGACAAAGGATTGTTTACATGCATTATTTCACCAAAGATTGTGCAGTGTTCGTAGATAGTTTTTCAAACCTGTTTAGTTATATTAGTGTTCGGTAGGGAAGGGGAATGAGAGGAAAGGAAAGGAAATCGAGAAAAGGAGGGAAGGATAGGAATGGAGTGGAAAGGATATGGGAAAGATCAGAAAGAAAGAACTGAAAAGAAAGGAAAAGAGAGAGAAAGGAAAAACAAGAATTATAAACATATACGAGGTCTACAAAATATTTTTGAAATGGTTCACCATCTGAAAGTTTTACTTTCTAGTATAATTCGAAAATATTTAATCAGAAAATCGAGAAATCGAGGGAAGGATAGGAATTGAAAGGAAAGGAGTTGGGAAAGATCAGAAAGAAAACCATATAAAAAAAATAAAAAAATAAAAAAAAAAAAAAAAAAAAGGGAAAAGAGAGAGAAATGAAAAACAAGGACCATAACACGAGGTCCACAAAATATTTTTGAAATATTTCACCATCTGACCCTCAAATATACGTACTGCAGCGAAATTTTACCTCTAGTATGACTTGAAACTATTCAATCGTATATGAAAATACGGCTTCTTTCCTCTTGCATGGAGAATGAAATTTACCGTAACAAAACAATTTTTTCATGGTTTTAAAAGAAAATATATGTAACTGTGACATGGATTTCTCTAGCACAATATATAACGATTCTACTCTGTTGGAGTTAGTGTTGACTAACACGTGCAAGTGTTATATCACATGATACGTTTCATACMTCTTGTATTGTTTTCTTCCACGCTTCACATCAAACCACTCATTTGTGGTCTGATCATTATATATACTTGATTRTTATTCCAAAGTGACGTTTTCATTCATAAAATTCGTAGTAAATTTAAAAGTTTGCTTGACTGTTGTGCTGTTTTTTTTGCGTCTTGAAATGAAGCAGGGTGACCAAGCACAAGTTCGAAGAGATACGTCTTGGTATTACAACTTTTCTGAGCCGATCGAGGACACCAAAGCGGTAAGAACTTGCACAACTACTTTATGAATTTTACAAAAAAAAGATTTCAAATTCAGAAATTGTTGCAAAATCACTCGAAACTTATCGTGAATAATGAAGCTTTGCATGTCTTAATCTTTCCCGCTATGAGTYGGTTAATCGCATAGTTCGCCTAAACTTTGTCTTGCTGGAATCGAACGAACGTTATTTTTTTAAAAAGCACATGTTAAAAACTAAGTCATTCAGCCATATCTCTGTGTGGTCTTTGTGTTAAACCAGTGGATTTTATAACTTTTCTATTCCACAATAAAAAACTGTGTTGCTGGAGTAAATTAAAACAGAATAAAGAACCTATAACTAGAAGGATTGTTTTGGTGCGAGAACAGTAGCAATGATGACGACAGTGTCATTGAAATGACGGAAAACCTCACCGACTACAAGCTAAGATAAGATCGCGCGACTCTTGTATCGTTCTATTTTGCTACAACAAAGGATATATCTTGTCTCTTTATCGAGGAACAATGAATSAATCAATCCAGTGAAACTGCGTTATGCCCAGCGTGACAATGACTTATACTTCTTGCAATCTATAGCTGATGTTGGAACAGGCCTTACAGCCTGTTTCTAATAAACTTGTGACCATCGCTCTAGAATTAAATTGAAAAAAAAMMAAAMMAAAMAAMAAAMAAMAMAAAACAAMAAMAAMAMAAAAMACGGAGAATCTAGAGAAAAGAACTTCCAAGCACATTCGAGAACGGACCAAATCAACTTGGACATAATGTTTTGCCCATTTCAGACCACTTGACATTCTCTTGAGAATGAGATTCTTTGTTTGAGTTGTATCTATATTCAWGCGTCTTCTCATGTGCAACCGTTAGACAAAGAAATTGTACTCTAGGGAATGACACGTGGTCTGACTATGGAAAAATATTGGATTAGGTGTACTTAGCGACAAGCACCTTTACTGTTCACATATGATTGCGCGTCGAGAATCGAAACCATGCATGGACCACAGAAGCAGCGCATTAGCGGGGCTTATTTCTTATAAAGTACAAAATGCCCCACTACTGTGACTGCTTTTTTTCTGATTCCGTCATTTTTGGAATTAATGCTTTTTAAGTTTAACATAGTTTATTGCATCAATACAAGACTTATATTTTTCGATGATGCGCGTTTTGGCCTTAGGTCAACACTGAAAACAACCAAAACGCATGCATTTCTAAACGCTCTCTAGAGTGAGACATTTGAAAAGGGAGGCCTTCCRTATTTGTATAGAAAAACGGAGATCTTTTAAAAACGCTGACGTCAATTAAATCGACCCGTCGGTTTTTCGCATGCGTAGAAGACAATATTGTATCCTTTCCARTCGTATCTGCATTTGAAAACGCTAGCGTCTACGCGAAGCTTTCGATGGATTTTCGGTGAAACGAAAACAGAGCGTTTCGAAAACGCATTAGTTTGA